CGCAATCACTAACATTTTGTAATGATCTTCACGCTTTTTGAGACGCCAGATTTAGAGTGGACTGTATATTTTGAGATTTTGCGAAGGCTTTTGACTCAGCCATCTAAATATTGATCCCTTGGTCTTTAATTGGATTCGAAAGTTTCTAACAGAACACAATTTGTGAGCACTAATGAAACCGACTCTCCTGAAGTACCGGTAAGCTCAGGCGTACCCCAAGGCTCTGTTCTAGCACCCTTACTATTTTTTAAATTCAAATTAATGACCTTCCTAACCAAATCCCAAGTACAATATGTCTGTTGGCCGACGATTGCGTCATATATTGCGCGATTGAAAGCCCTAACAATACGTTAACGCTCCAGCATGACCTAAATAACATTTCAGCATGGTGTAAGCTCTGGCTCATGGAACCTAACACGTCGGAATGTAAAACAATGAGAATTTTCCGTAATCAGTAAGCATGCCCTACTTACTTACTTAACAACACTCCCCTTGATCAAGTAGAATCCTATAAATACCTCGGTGTGCATATTACTAATCTCTGATGGAAAAAACACATCGAACACATAACGTCGAAAGCTAACCGCATGCTTGGTTATCTTAAACGAAACTTTTCTTTACTTCCACTAAAACTAAAAAAACAACTTTACATCACTTATGTCAGATGTAACCTTGAATATGCATGCTCGATACGGGACCCTGGACATGCTGCTCAGAAAAATATAATCGAAAATGTGCAAAATCGAGCGGCCCATTTCATCCTTAACAATTACCACAGATCTGCTAGTGTCACTAGTATGAAACTAGCACTTGACCTTCCTCACTTTTCTTCTCGTAGGAAGTTAGCTCGTCTTTCCCTCTTTCATAAGATCTATTATCATAACCATGAGCTCAAGTCCTCACACATTACACCAGCATCTTATATCTTCCCCCGTGTCGATCACTCTAGTAAAGTTCATGTACCTTCACAGCGCACAGTCACCTCCTGATATTCATTCTTGCCGAAAACTTGTCACGAGTGGAATCGCCTGCCTGTGTCACTTGTCGCTATCAGACACAGATCGTTTCCGCAAAGCACTAACAAATGAATTATAAGGCTGCGCCAAGCTGCTTCACTACAGCATTTGCAATTTATTATTTGTTTGCCTCTTACTTTTTATGCTATATCTTTTTTTTTGTTAGTCAATATGAAATTGTGTTTTGCTCTGGTACTTTGTATTCATTTTTTTTGTCATTCTTGATATCCGGTATGTTTTTGTTTCTCTTCTTGTACCATTACTTTTTGTAGCTATATTTATGCACCAAAGTACATACAGTGGAACTTCGATTATACGACTTTTAGGGGACCACGCAAAATCGTCGTATAATCCGGGCGTCGTATAATTGAAAAACCAAGAATATAGGCACTGATGGTCGTTGTTGCCCCACAAAAGTTGTCACATAATGCGTAAGAAAGTCTGCGGCACAAATCTATGCTGCTCCGATGAAGGTAGATTAAATTACTTGAAAAAATGACAACCACGCATTTTATCGGAGGTGTGAATAAATCTTTATTCTCACCTTTTAAAAAAATCTGTGATATTTTTCTGCGAGTTTGCCCAGCCCCGATGCATCAGCTTTCTTTCGAGAGCTGCCACATCTGGCAGCAAGTCGCCGATCTCGTCGCGTGCGCAAGCGAACCGCCGAATGTTGTCGACGTAGCACAACACGTCCGTGTATTTCGGAACGGACGCACTAGCCTTTGCAGTGTCATCCATCTCTTCCTCGTCCGAAGTTCCCGCAGTGTCAGGACGCACAGTTTCGATAATGTCATCCAGCGACGCAATGCCGCGGTTTTCGTTTCCGCGACATTGGAAGACGCAGCACTCGCAACCAAGAATGCGAAAGCTTTCTCGCACACCAATGTTACTGAAAATTTTGCACGTACTAGACGCAGCAGCTGCGGCGCACAACCCACCGATAAGCAAACACGTGAAGGAATGGCTGAAAGGCAACAAGGCAGTGGGCCACAAAGGAAGTACCTTTCCATCCTTCGTGCAGTGGGCCCATTCGATTTTTGCAAGCGCGTACGTCTGCGCAAGCTTCGACCAATCGCGAGGGGCTAAAACTCTTCAGCCCTCTGGTAGCTAGACAGCAGCTAGTTCCGGTTCCCGCGGCTGTCCCAAACGTAGACTGGCTCAACAATCACCGTTCTACACGTCCAGTACAACGACGCGAAATCTAGTGAAGGTTATCGCATAGTAGAAAGCGTAATCGAAATTATCTGCCATGTTACCTGCTCACAGCTGTCACTACAAAACCACCCAAAAGAAGGCTGAAAACAAAACAAAAAAAGGCCCCAATGGAAGTGCGCAGTGCAATGCGACTAAGCAAAACGAATGCGCTCCGGCTGGCTCTGGATAACGTTGGCTCTGGCTAGCTATGGCCGACAGCCTGTCGAAAAATTGAAGAGGCCCTGTGGTGGCAGCGCAGATAGTGTGCAAAAACGTGCGGAGGAACGAACTCGGTTCCTCGGTTTCCCGACTTTTTTTCATCCGGCTGCAGTGTTCTTGCGTGGCAGCCTGCATGCGTCGTCGTAGGTTTTTTTTTTTTTTTTTCTCGGACAGTCCAGCTTAGCGTCGCACGAGGCGGGGCCAGCGTAAAATTGCGTCGTAGAATTGAGGTTTTCAATACATTAGTTCTATGGTGGTTTTGCTGGGACCAGGCCAATTCGTCGTAAAACGCGGGTTGTCGCAGGACCGGGGGACGTATAATCGAAGTTCCACTGTAATTCGATTCTTGTATTTTATTATCCACTGTCATTCTCTAATAATCACTGTTCTTTTTATCTTGCATCGTACTTTTGTTAGCAGATGTATAAATATAATTTCTTTGTTACAGTTTGTGCTTCATTACCTACACTATTATATTCTCCTATGTAATATTGTTTTCTTGCTTTATATTTTGTTGTACTATACACATTTTTTGCATGTATCGATATACCTTAGCCCCTCCCCTCTATAATGCTTCTTGTAAGCCTTGAAGGTATAAATAAATGAAAAATAAATAAATAAATAAATAAATAAATAGTCAAACATTCAGGTACCAAACCAAGAACAACGTGCGTGATAGGAAGTTTGCATTCATGGCCGGGAGATCAACGACAAAAACTCCCCAACCTTATGTAAGACCGCGCACTGGCAGCAAAGGCGAAAGCTCTCATGATACTGCTATGAAAGCTTTCAAATTTACGGACCATGTAGCTAACGCAATATCTGTAGCAAGCTCTGTAACGTCGCTTTTCTTGATAGTAAACTCTTGAGCACATTTGATAAGGAAGAAATTGCACGTGCCATCTTGAACTGCGCGGGGAGCCGCTGGAGCCACACTAGCGACGTATAGTACACTGTATTCACATCGGTGCCAATGCAAAGGATTCCTGAGCAACCGCCCTCCTCGGTGTGCGTGCTCAGCATTCCGCATTTTTATTTTTTCTCTCATGCTTTTCCTCTCTCTGTCCTCGTTTATATACTTTGCACTCCCCTCTGCCACCATAATGACGCCGTTGCTTGCTCCCCAGCAGCGCACCCTGCGTGCCTCCTTTCAGACGCTCAATCGCTACCACGATTCACACAAAGATCTTCCGGCAACTGCATTATAACTGGTCTTTCATCTTGGGGGACTGCACAATTGGCGGTATGTATAAACATACGAGAGTCGATCTTGACCACATTGTAACCAGGCTTCATAATAAGCGGTTACGTGATAAGTGGTCTACACTGTATTGAGCTAACTCATCTCAATTGTAATTGATCATTGAATCACTGTCATAGAATGTAAACAAGAGTGGCACCTACCATGACAGCCCATGCATTCTGCCCAAGCAACAGGCAGTTATAGCCATGTTAGGGTTTGGGCAGTCCACACGCAATCTTCTTCGTACCGCGTTTTGAAATGCACAAAATGGCTAGCAACTGTGCGACTACTGTGGCTATGGGGTCCAATAAACAAAATTTTGAAGAGTGAGCAGATGTTATTTGTTGCTTGCAATGAAGCACCTTGTGGTTTGTTCACTTTCACACGTCTGCCAGTCTACTGTCCTTGTCCCCACAGTCAGCAATAGTCTTGTATGTCAGCGTTGTGAGCGATGTTAGGCCTCCTAGCCCCGGCTGTGTACAGTGAGCTTGGACATGATGCGTGTGGTTGCGTTGACCAGTGTTTCAAAATACATGATGCTTGTATGACTGCAAGTTCAAAAAGAGCTGCTCTGCAATAGTCTCATAACAAAGTCTGAGGTGCATGTGAGCGGAATTTTGAACTGCAGGGTCAGAGGAATCAACGCAACATAAAGTTTGCTTGAGACACACCCGCCCATGACGTGAGAGACTAGTTAGTCGTGCTGTTGTAACCTGACAACTTAGCCTCTGCTAGCAGGTGCCCAACTAAAGCTAAATTAACATCTGAAAGATCACTGATGTGTGAAGAAGAAGTTAGTCCAAACGCATTAGTAAGTAGCGTAACTTTCGCTAGCCATGACACTCTCCCAGAGCGAGCAGCAGATCATTTGGAGGGGTGCTGGAAGAACCTGTCAGATGCAGTCAATTGGAGGCCTCAAAAAAACAATTACTTTTTGTGGAATTGTTTTTGAAGAGTGAAGTTGGGGAAGATCGAGATATATTCTTTTAAACAAGCCCAAGATAGCGGCACCCGGTTGCATCATTGTGGAGCTGGAATCTTTTTCCTAAAAACAGCGTCGTTTTCTTCAGCAATTTTTGCAATAACTATTGTCATCTACACAGGTGAAACAAAACAAATTTTCAAAAGTGCTTTTACAGTGTTCTGAGAGAAGACAATTAGGAATGAGATAGTAAACGGGCTGAAAAAATTGAGAAAATGATTTTGAGAGTTTTTTTTTTCCATTTCTCGTGATACGAATGCTGACCCCCTTAACCAAGCATTCCCAGACAAAGCCCTTAGCTCTCAATGAATGAAATAATTGTTCTGATGGCATTGCAACTTACGCCGACTTTGCGCAGGAGGTCGCCGACAATGTTGAGTGCGGAGACCCGTGCTGAAGGGGTCAATGGTGTCTGGCTCGATGAGCCCACACCCAGTGGTAGCTGCTGGGATGTCCCATTGCTGGCGGCTGTAAAACGAGGAACCAAAAGCAGCTTAAATCTGGGCAAGGAGGTGAACACACCAACAGCCGAGTGCATCTCAAAATTGAAGGAGTACTGTCACAATTTTGTGATATCGAAAAAGGAGCAGTATTCTTAATAAAATATTTGTGGCACAACTGATACTAACAAGGAAAAAAGAAGGAGACAAGATAGGGCGCCTGACTTTCAACTCGTTTATTTTCCTCCCATCACCCAAATATATATGCATGCTTCTAGAGTGCTTGAACTAGGGGGCACAGCACAAGCGACTGTCAAATTGCACACACGAAAACCCAAACAGAAGAAAGCTATCGCACAGCGCTATCTAGAAGCAGGTATTCCTGCTAATAAATAAATAAATTCCTTTTTGACAAAGTGATTGACAAGACAATGACGCATTCGTTTCTCTTCCTTTGTATATAATATGCGTCAAGTACTTCACATGCTGTTTCCCTGCTTCGTCCTAACACACGTGTTCCTCAGAACAGTGGTGTGCAACCGGACGAAGCACAATGTAACGGCAGGTGTGAACCAACGCCATTCTTAATTGATAATATATGTTCCCTAAGGCAATCATTAACACAGCGTCCTGTTTGGCCCATGTACACTTTGCCACAGCTCAAGGAAATTTCATAAATAACGCCCACTATTCAACGCAGAACTGGCTGGGAGTGCTTCTTTTCACATAAAAGGTTAGCTTTTTGCAAACAAATGCAAACACAAAGCTTCGACAGCTCATTGGGTGCTGAGAAGACCACAGGAACGTCATGCCTCTTTGCTTTTTTCTTCAAATTGGTGGCAATTTCGTGCGTCGTGCCTGTTTGCTACTTTCTTCAAATTGTTGGCAATTTTTGTGCATGAAAGGCAGAACCAGTGGTTTCTTTTCCCGTGCAGCCTCGGGTTGTCTGCTGCATTCTTTTAAGCTTCTGGAGCAGAGATTTGGACCTACTGGTCAAGAGCGCCGAATAGAAACTGGCTGCAACCAGCCTAGAAATCTGCTCCTAAAAAGTGTCGTTCATGATGTGCTCACACGATTTCAACAATGCAGACCAGAGACGCACTGTCGCAATGGCTCTTTTTACGATTTTGGAGTGTGCAGATTCGTAAGGCAGGAGGTCTTTGCGTGCACGGAGGCTGTACATCCAAAACGAATCTGTAGCATTTAGTGACAGGTTGATGTTTAAAAACTGCAAATGATTGTCTTGAGGTAGCTCATGCGTAAGTGTCAAGCCTGGTATAACAAGCTTCAAAACGTCAGAAATGATGAGTCAATGTGAGGCTGATATGTTCACTTAACCTTGTGGGGCTTTGGGGCAATGCAGATTTCCATTAAACAAGTATTTTCAAAGCTTAGGACGCCTCCCCTGGAGCAAAACCACCTTTACAAGGATAACCTGTGGACTAATGATACACATATATTCGTTCATTTTGAATACTTGGAAATTTCAAGTGTTTAAGTTAAAAATCAAAGAGAATTCGAATCCTGTAATATTCGTAATGCGGTTCCTTAAGGTATTTTTCTCTATTAGTAATTTTTCTATCGCTATACACCTGAAATAAGAACTCCAGTATCGCTCAGGCTGGAATGCAATAACAAGTGACAAGAATGTAACGACACGAGTGGCCCCCTGTGTGCTGATGAGGCTGGCAATAAAAAGAGTGGCACATTGACGAGCTCTCTGAGGCTAGCAAGGGCCGAGTGAAAAAGTGGCCACAACAGGGCTGGCCTCAAAGGTTTTCAGGCACGAAGAACATACAGTGCCTGTATTTTCTTCCTCCCATTGTGTGCACTTTTCTACCAAAATGTCATAGAATGGAAGCTTGTGTGAGCCGGTATACGTTCATCTTGGTTGATATAGTGCATGCGAGACGACAGGACTGGTGCAGACTTGCAAGTAAAATTCATTGGAAAAAAAAACAAAAACAAGCATATATATCGGTGACGTACTGCATAACTAAGAGGGCCTGAAGCCAGGAAATACAGATATAAGACTGCTTTATATTTCTCAGGTGTCACAAAGGTACATAAGTTCTGCATCACTGTCCTGCGTATCGTCATCGTCTCATGTGAGCTGTATCACCAAAGGTGTCATATCTATATTACAGCCCTTGTTCGGGCCCACTGACACTGGGAAAGTGCACAGTTCTCTCTTTGTATTGAACTTTCGTTTGTAAAGGCCCTTTGAATGCTGTTCTCTCATGAGCCCAACAACACGTCGCGAGATTCCTGCTGAATGCACTACTAACCTTTGTCGGTGGCCAGTCGGTTGGAGTCTGACATGCCCAGAATGCGGCTGTGATGGGCCCTGCCTGAAGGAGGGATCAGGGGTGTGGTGCCGCCCGTTGACTCCCGACGCTGCACCAAGGGCGATTCAGCCCCAAAGCTGCTCTGCTCCTTGTGCACAGAACTCTGCTGGATCATTAGCTCCTGCTTCAGGTCTACCACCAGAAGACACATGCATTGCAGATTAATAGGAGAAGGGGGGGGGGGGGGGGGCAACCACTCAATCAGAAGGCTAACAGACCGATTTCATAACTGTAAAGCAAACCTTCATACAATGCATTTCGTCCACTAATGGTGGCTGGTCACTTATGGCAACAGTGTCACGTTGTGTAGCAGCGTAGTTTGCTTGAACACAGTTGCCTTAATAATATTAACACGCATAATAGACTAGACCCACAGCGTGCAACCACGCCGACCTCTCTACTTGAACCACAACAGGCGCTGCCATCAGTTGGGACAATGTACAGCGCACAGAAGTGCAGCATTAGATTGCAACTTGACCCAGTGTGCGCTGCCGTTTTATAGTAAATATAACCCATCAACTAGCCCTCAAGTAAATTTTAAGCATCAATTCATAAGAGATTTGCAATTATGGTTACTTTGAGTATGTGACTGTGGTGAACTCATGTAAAACGCAACGGCACGCAGCCAGGTGACAATTTCCAGAGTTAAATTTTCGGTAGCCACCTGGTGCTCTTTAAAAGCGATTTTAAGTACTACACAGTACTACACAGTACTACACAGTACCCTGTGTAGTACTTTTATGCCTGTGGCGTGGATGAGCCTATTTGCTTTCCCACCGCGCCTTTGCAACGGGCTGTACTGCGTTTGATGTTGCCACAATAAAGTGTTGCGACTTTCAGCAATATCGTGTTCTCGCCAGGGCGACGGTTAACGCGTGCCCTGCGGCTCGCCAAGACCAGACCCACGCTGGTGGCCGTACTCCTTCGGGATACGTGTACACCACACTGGCGCCCAATCCCCCTCTCCTAAATTTGCCTTTTACAGGTCTGCAAAAAGCAGCCGGACATCACCCATGCAATTAAAATGACACTGCTATGAGCGACAGCTAACCTCAGTCCTGCCCTGTTACTGCAGCTAAAAAAATGATAACAAAGGAGAAACAAAAACATAAATAACAAAATAAACACATGACACTATAAAAACAATTGCAAAAGGGAGCACAGGGAAGTGGGACTAGTGTTCGTGGTGCTGAAGCGGGATAGCGTCCACTGCGCGGACGGGCGGAAGGGCGTGACAGTGTCCGCTGGTTGCGATGCCCGAGTGTGAGGTCAGAGGCACGAAGGGGCTCACTGATGGCTCGTTGCTGCTCTTGTTTAGCTGCGAGTCCGACGAATGCCGCCTCGGTTGTGGTTCGGAGGCCCCGCATTTCTGGCTCGACGGAGCTGGGACGTTGCGGGAAGCCGGGCCTCTGCAGTGATCGGGAGGCCGAACCAGAATTGGCTGCGAGGCGCCATGGTGGGAAAGGCAGCAGGGCTTCTTCGGCGACAGCCGAGAGCAGAGCACAGCCAGACGGTCCGACGTCAGTGGGTCAATACCCCCCCCAGTGCCTCCAGTGTCCGCGTCGATGGGAGGGAAGCCATGACGCACTCTTCACGGGCACGCACTGAAGCGTCACGCAGTTACACGCGCACAAAAGCACGCACGCAAACACACACTGCCGACGGCTGCGCGAGCGTAGGCGCAAAGCGTCCTTCATCTCTCTCTTCCGGCAAGCACCGACACTCAAGGTCACACACAGCTCCCTTCGTGGTAGACGAAATGAACACGGGAAAAAAAAGTAAAAACAGAGCAAAATGACACTCATCATCTGGCCGAAAGAAAATAAAAAACAAAATAAAAATAACACTTAATATTAGACAAAAGAAACATAAAATACACATGAACACTTAAAAAAGAAAAACTGGCAGCAGGCTGGGCGGGGTCGACTTTTTTTACGAGAAAAGGCCGTAAAGAAGCTAAACTATACTGAGGCTAGACAGTAAAGTGAGGGTCTTTGGTTGCGGAGAAGTCCACCGTCCGGCGCGAAATCACAAAGGTGACCACTTCCTCAGATTATACCGCTGCGGTGTCCGAATGCGGTCCGCCGCTCAGGGTATGCCCGTTGCTAGCGCGAAATGCCGCAGGGCGCTGGCATGAGCCGTCAAACCGTGACAAAGGGCTTCAGGTCTGCAATGTGGGCACGGCTGAGTTTTCCCAAAGGGGATCTTTCAGCTAGTACGCGCCACGGACGCTCACTGAGAATCGGTTCACAAGACCGGGCGGCTTTCCAACCCTTGGTTCAACCGTTTGTCAGACGTGGCAGGCACGAAATAGCGATAAAAGCTCCGCTTCGTGCCGGGCCAGGTCACAATGTTGCTCGGTTTGCATAAAACTTTGGAGCCGCTCAGGTGACCGGCCACGGGTTCGTCGTGAGAGGTTCGCAACAGTGCGGCTCTCAGACTTTTGGGCATAACCACCTTAAACGGGTCGATGGACTTGTCGTCAGTGGCTATATACTTCAGTAGGAGCCCATCATGGTCCAGCAAAATGAATCCGCCGGGGACTCAGCGACACACGCTGTTTCAGCCCCCTAATCGCGCCCGCCGCAGAACAAGCAGCGTAACGGCGCTCCATCCCTCCGAGATTCGAAACGGATCACTCTGCTGAGCCTTCAGTAGGTCTTCACTGCTGAAAGCGATTCCCATTCTCCCAAATGGGGGAGTCTGGTATCGCGCCCACTCAGGACCGCAGCAACCGCCGCGTGCACGGCGTCACGGGTTCGCTCTCGGCACGGTGGCCTTCGAAAAGTTCCCTCGCTCGGCCGCTACGCAGTGCGCCGCTTACCTGGATAGCAGCCAAGATCGTCCTCATGAGGACTCCCCTTTTCGCCGCTGTTTCGCCCCGACACTTGCATGTGCTATGGCAACACGAGCGGACGTCGCACCGAAATCCATGTTCTCGGCAGACAACAGGGGGCACGAGATAGCACGTCAGCTACCACGTAGGTTGTGTATTCACCACAAAAGGGGGTGACGACACGAACGAGCGCCGAAGGGTGCCCGTCGATAGAGGCAGTGGCCTCTTTGTGCAACGCGGCATGCCACGAAGCAGACATGTTGCTATGAGCCCGATTTGCGCAGGCGAACTGACTCGCTAAGAGCAGTCAAAAGCTAGAGCTTTTGATACCGCGTTGGGCGCCAGTGGGGTGTACACTTATCTCGAAGGAGTACGGCCACCAGCGTGGGTCCGGTCTTAGCGAGCCGCAGGACACGTGTTAACCGTCGCCGTGGCGGGAACACGATACTGCTCAAAGTCGCAACACTTTATTGTGGCAACACCAAACGCGGTACAGCTCGTTGCAATGGCGCGGCAGCAAAGCAAATAGGCTCATCCACGCCACGGGCATAAAAGTACTACACAGGGTGCCACGAGCACGTCTCTGTGGTAAAGGTGATCCACGGAGACACCGGGGCCAAGGCTCGGTTGCTCGAGCGAGGACAAAAGCGCTCGCGTTGGCTTCGAAGGGAGACGGGTCGGCGTAGCTAGGCCACGCAGTAGGACAACGTACCGCCCTTCGGCCGTGCGCACGCAGTGGGGGGCAACAAACGGTGAGCATTCGCCTTGGGCGCGAGGCACCGTCAGCGAAGTCCGACGAGCCCTGAGCGACGGAAAAAATTGCGTGGCTTACCGTTTGCAGTCCCGGAGAGTATCTCTCCGCTCCCGACACAGCGCGCGAAAACCTCTCGGGAGACTCCGCGCGTGGCGCCACAGTCAACATCTGCTACCGGGTGAGGGCGTTAAACGTCACTCCGCTCCCCCAGCGCGGCAGACAGCAAAGGAGGGGAGACATGTCGGGACATGGGAATGGCAGAAAAGGCGGCAAAGCCCGCGCGAAGGCAGCGTGCCTTCCTCAATTCCCACAAAGTAAACAGAGATGAGTATAGCTGAGAGTTTATGCCATTTTTTTTTTTTGCTACCGCAGGTCTTTTCAAAACGTGCGTTGGCTGCCATTTCTATATTTGTTTCTTATATAAACACTTGTCGCCCACTAGTTGCTTTTTGGCACTTTTCTGCCTCCGCGTGTTTTGCTGAGGTAAGTTTAAGTCTGCATGTGTGCCATTCCGCAAATGACCACAGACAGCTGAACTTTCTCAACAGAAGGAATGCGCGAGCTTTTTACGAAAACGAATAGTACCACATGGCATCGCGGGAAAAGGCACGACACCGCAACCCATTCGGAAATAACCGGACCTAATGACAAAGATGCCAAGGACTTAAAGACAGACATTAGAAGAAAACTAGAGATAAGCCGGGAATGAGAAAAAATATCTAGAGATAAAAAGAAATGGGAAGGTGGTGTCACGACTCCTGAATGCAACATTGTTAACAGCCAGCGCTTGTGGTAGTGTTAACGTAAACAGATGCTTGTTGGGTGTGGTATGAAGCACCGTTGGTAGGGTGGCTAGAATGGGGAGGTGTGAAAAGCGGCCGCCAAAACCGGTCCCCAAAGCACGCTGATGCCTCTTGGGGCGCTGTATGCACCTGCGCGGGTAACCTTGCGGAGGAGACAAGCAAGACAGCACATGCCGCTCTCCACAAAAATTGCTCCCACGCTGCGAGATGGTGACCAGTTTTCGATAAAATCATTTTGATCAAGCAAGTGTAGGGCAGTACATGGCACTTAAGCTCTTTAAAGTCTCACCTCTGAAAACTATTCTTGAAAAGGCCTTGATATGTTTAGTTTAACGTCCCAAAACCACCATATGATTATGAAAGACGCCGTAGTGGAGGGCTCCGGAAATTTAGACCACCTGGGGTTCTTTATCGATTATACTCCAAGATCAGAAGTTTGAATCAATGTGCCCGCGCTGCGGGAGCCATAATATCATTTTAATAAACCTCGTATTTATAAGTGACATGTAATAAAGCATTCGTTAAACATGGTTGTAGTACCATAATTTTGCTTGCTAAGATAAACGTAAACGCAAGTGTTTGTCTCACTAGGCACGAAGAATTAAATGTGGAATTTACCTATTCCTAGAAGCGTTTAGGATGAACATTGTCCTACAGGGTACCTTACCTATTAACCACCTCAAACCATGAAGACATTGACACTTTGTACTTTCTTGTGCCATTGAGAACTTCCTTTGAA